GGTTCAAGGGCATCACAAACCACTCTCTGCCTCCACAGCGAGAGAGCCCCATCTCCAACCCTACCTCCCCCAAAAGCTGCTCCCAGCTGCACCGCTCCCCCCAAATCGTACCTGCACGGGGGTCTCAGACAGCCCCCTCGGGCCCTTAACGCCCTAGATGCCACCAGCGAGCCCGGCTCCATCTCCTCCCCGACACTCAAGAGGGCTGGGTGACCTCCCAGGGCTATTTATGTCCTTGGATGTCGTCCTGTTTTTGCTGGGATAGAGTTAATTTTTTTTTCCTAGTAGCTGGTACAGTGCTGTGTTTTGGATTTAGGATGAGAATCCTGTTGATAACACGCTGATGTTTTAGTTGTTGCTAAGCAGTGTTTAGACTAAGTCAAGGACTTTTCAGTTTCTACTGCCCTGCCAGCGAGGAGGCTGGGCGGCTGGGGGGGGGCACCAGAAGCTGGGAGGGGACCTGGCCAGGACGGCTGACCCAAACTGGCCAAAGGGATATTCCGTACCATCGGACATCATGCCCGGTAGTAGGACGTCATGCTCAGTATATAAACTAGAGGAAAGCTCGCCAAGGGCCACTGTGTGGGAACCGGCTGGGCATCAGTTGGCGGGTGGTGAGCAATTGCATTGTGCATCACTTGTTTTGTATATTCTAATTCTTTTATTATCAATTTTCCCTTCATTTTCTGTCCTATTAAACTGTCTTTATCGCAACCCACAAATTCTACTTTTTTCCCCCAATTCTCTCCCCCATCCCCAGCTGGGACCTTTTGGGCTCTCTGTGCCCTGAGCTGCACGGGAAAGGCTGGGGGCAATGGTACAGCTTCCCCTGGGGGCACTCAAACAGGGGGGGGAGAGGGAAGCCTGGGGGTCTGCAACAGCTCCCCACAAACTCCGGGATGTTCAGACCCGGCCAAGAGCAGAGCCTGGTGCCAGCACACGGCCAGGCTGTCCCCGAGCCCATCCTCACCCCTCCTGGGGGGGCTACGGCCGGGCGCAGCTCATTGCCCAGCTTCGCCCTGCAGCAAGGGCTACGGCGAAGATTCGGGGCCGGGAGCGCTCGGCTCTGAGGCTGGGACCCTGCTCACCACCGGCTCCTGCTGCCTTCGGGCTTGATGGAAAACCACAGCGGTTACAAGACCTGGGAATCACGGCAAATCCCTGGAAATCGCAGCAAATCCCTGGAAATCACAGCAAATCCAGCAAAAGCAATTGCTTCTGCTGGAAACCCTCCCAAGAGCAGCACCCAGGGGCCGAGAGAAATCCCACAAAGGCTGGACACTGGAAGGTTCTTAAATATTTAGTTCAGATTTATTTAAAGTCAAGTCAGTTTGTGGACACTATTTATATTATTAAAAACACTTGGAGGTTTGTACTTCTAGCAAAAATATACATTTCAGTTTGAGGGTTGTTACACTGTCAAGGAGGGAAGAGCAAAAAGTTCCCCAGGTGATGGGCAGACGAGTCCGGCATGCCGGCCACGGCGGGGGATGCCACGGGGGGCTTCGGGAAGGACAAATCCCCCAGGCTCCGTCCAGCACACGCACGTCTCCGGTGCCTTCCCCGAGAGGGCTTCAAAGTGCTTTAGAAACGGTAACTCCCCACACCCCTGCGAGGTAGGGAGGGGAAGGGGGTGGGCAGGCAGGGAGCAGGGAAACAGAGGCACAGCAAGGAGCCGGAGGGCGGCAGCAGGGGCAGGTTTGGGACTGGCCAGCCCTGTGACACGGAGGGGAAGCCCAGCGCTCTTCCCCTTCGGGTTTTAAAGGAATTATTGCACCAGGGAAATCTGCTACCCTGAAGAGGAGGAACATAAAATAAAACCAACTCATTTGCTCCCACAACGCCTCCTTGGGAATATCAGTATTTTAATAAGGCTGCTTAGTAACGGGGACCACCACCTGCAGACGGGGAAGTGCCACTTCTTAGGTCAGACACCATCATCCCAAGAGGGGACCAAGCCCTTCCCGAGCCCGTCCTCTCTCCCAGAGCCCGGCTGACGCAGCCCCCACGCAGGGGTCGCATCCTGGGCACCGGCAGCACCGTGGCGCTTCAGTACAGCTGCGAGAAGTTGCGAGGTAAAGTCCCAGAACGACTCTGGGTTTAGGCAGACCCCGAAGCCTGGAGCTGCCCCCACCCCCAGGATGGCAGCAGAGGAGGAGAGGGCAGCTTCCCCGACCCAGCCACGCTCGCCAGGGAGCTCCTGCTCCTTGTGAGCACCTCACCCTCTCCCTCCCCTTTCATAACCACTTGGCATTTAGACCGTGTTTTACAGCTGCAAAGCTTCTTGCAGCCAACGCGCTCATTAAACCTCGTGCTCCCGCTCTCTGCTCAGAGCTCCCCTTCACAGAGGGGAAACTGAGGCAGGGCAGTTAACAGACAGGTCCGCGCACTTTCAGCAACACGAGCGCTGTGGGCCGGCTGCGGCTTTCTCCTTGCTGGTGCTGCTCAAGGCTTTGCTTGCTCCGGTGCTCCCAGGAGCCGTGTTCCTGGGGAGCCTCTGCTGCCCGCATGGCCCTACAGAACCCCCAGATCTCCCCCCAGGGCTTGGGAAAGAAGCTGCCACCTAAACCCCGACCAGCCCCAGGCCCATCCCGGGCCCTGCACAGACCTTTTTGGTAACTCACGTCTGTGCAGAGCGGCCCGGGGAAGCACGCAGATCTGGGCCTCTGCTCCAAAGCCGAGTTTTTATGAGTCAAACCCTTTCCCTCCCACCTCCCCATCCGTCTCTCTCTCATACTGAGGTGCTGAGGGGCAGGCTGCCTCTGAAACGGGGGTGCCAGGAGCAAAGGCTCCCACACGACACTCCGGGGAAGGCAGAGATCACACCATCCCTCTGTGACCCGGGGAAGCACGCAGATCTGGGCCTCTGCTCCAAAGCCGAGTTTTTATGAGTCAAACCCTTTCCCTCCCACCTCCCCATCCGTCTCTCTCTCATACTGAGGTGCTGAGGGGCAGGCTGCCTCTGAAACGGGGGTGCCAGGAGCAAAGGCTCCCACACGACACTCCGGGGAAGGCAGAGATCACACCATCCCTCTGTGAGACAGAAATACACCACACAGTGAGGGGGGGGTTGAGGGTCTCTGCTAGGACAGCCCTACCCGTCTTCAAATACTCTGGCTTTTCTTTGGGAAAGAGAGAAACACCCTTTCATTACACTGTCCTAGACTTCACGGCTCAGGACGACGTCTTCGGAGTGCAACAGGAAAAAGAAAAAGTCACGCTGCAAGTGCTGCGGCTGGCCCCGCCGGGTACCCGCACCGCGCTCGGGTCTCCTAACGACCACAGCATCCCCCACCGTCCCCAAGCTGCCGCAGGCACCCCACCAGCTAGGCCAAGTAAACCCGCCG